GTTTTGAGTCTGTACCACATTATGCTTGAATTATTATGTGCAAACATCATCAGTGTTTTAGAATTATATAGTGAACTAGTAATTTTGGTTACTAACTTTTAATGCTCACTTTTTGAATTCTAACATCCAGTTGCCTTAAGAGTTTTATGTCTTCAAGGCAGGGATCCTATTATTTTGAAGAGTACCATGTACACTTGCAGCTCCATTTATGTTACAAATGACAATAAATAAAATGTATATTGCACAGATAAGAATAGTAGCGTATTTTATAAGATACATCTCAGTACATGTCCTAATACCAGAGTTTTGGATTGGATCTTATTTGATTATGGCTAATGAATGACTGGAAAGTTTAAGAATCAAAAAAAATCATAGCATCATTTCATTTTTCGGTGAACATTAACTTTGAAGAAAATGAAACAAAAGGACTGGCAGAAGGCTTAATGATTCTAAAGTATATTCAACTGCCGGTACATGTGCATCTATCCAGTTTGTAGCTTTGAGATGGTAAAAACTTTGAAGTATACATACAATGTAGAAAATTTGGCTGCCTAACCAATTTTTCACTTAAATTATTAATGCAAAATTAAACTAATAATATTTATATACAATGAGTTAAAGATATTTAAGTCTGACATTGTATCATGTGTATGTATATATATAACACATATATACACACACATAGATGTGTGTGTGTGTATATATATATACATACATATATATATGTATATATATATACACACACACACACACACTCAAACCTTACCAGACTAAAAACCAAGAAGGAAATTATTTAGATTTAACAGATATAAATATTTTAGAAGGGAAGGTTTTAAGAGAGAGTATACAGTCACAGCAATAGTGATAGGAACACTCAAATACTGGAATATTCACAGCTCCAGTTTGCCAAAATCTGACAGGTTGATTATTATTAATAGGCACTATGATGGGCAGCAAAGCAATCAGTAGTACAGTAATTCAAGTGTACACCACTCCTTCACATACCCCAAAACTACTTTTTATCAAGCCTAGAATAGTTATTTTACAGTGAGGACTGTTTAAAGATCCTTGCTACTTTTAGAGTCTCAACACCCGCCATGAGCTATTAACTCTAGTCCTAACACCATCTTCTAACCTTCAGCTGGTCCATAGTGATCCAGATGGCCCACAATTATAATGAACTGGGGAGATTCCTTTATACTTTGAGGAAACTGGAAATACAATCAGTAAGCCAACACCAGTATGTATGTCTAGGTTACTGATTGCTTGTTCTTAAGTAATGTAAATCAGTGAAATTAATTTTCTTAATTCATATCATAAAGTTTTCTCAGTGACCTTACTTAAGTGTATTTGGGGACAAACCTCTGGAGGGAAATCAACTGTTAAAATAATTGTGAATTACTTATAGCATATAAAAGAAGAGCTACATTCTGAACTCAATCCATGCAGCCAGCTCTCATCAATGAGAGCTATATTTGGGGGCTGAAATCAGTGTCTGGCTTCTAAACATGATTATATGGACTCATTGTGTGGGAGGTGAATAAAGCCAAGATAAAAGACAGTAATTTCATTCAGATAAAATGCAGCTCAACAGATAAAATTTCAGTCAGTTAATACAGGGTGGGTTGGTACACATATACATTATATCCACTTGTTTAAAAAATTGCTTGGGTGTTGAAAAATTGCTGTGGCACTTCCTGGAAAGTAATTTTTAATACCAGTAAGTGGGTGAGTCTTGTGTAAAGTAAACCTTGTGTAAAGTATCATAAAGAGCACCTTGGAAAAATGCCTGAATTATTCTTTCAAATATGTTTATAACCAATCTTCAAATTATATTTTTCCAGGCTGAAATTGTATATTTATTCTAAATGCTTTTTAGAAAAAAACTTTTTTTTTTCCTGGAATTAAAAAACCTTTAAAAGTCAGGTTTATACTGTAAGTGTTGAAATGGACTTCAGGGCAGCAACTGCAAAAGTGCTACTAAAATATATTACTACAGATTATTTTTATATCAGGTAACTGGTGCACCAACCCTTCTGAAACAGTGCTAAAGCAGCAGCATAAAATATAACACCTTGAGTCCATGATGTATTTTGGGAAAGAACCTCTCACAACCTTCAAATTAGCATGAAAAGCTAAAATATCAAGATTTCCATAGCAAAGCCTCCCACGCAACAGTGACATAAAAGTAATTCCTGAAACTTTGGAAAGTCAATAATAATATATGGTACAATAATCAGAGGTGAAGATGGGATTATAACTAGCTTAGAATAACCAATTAAAACTCTCTCATGGCATTGATATGGCAAGTATAAACTGTAGGGTCACCACAAAATTTGAAATTATAGAATACTATAGTAACTCTAAGAGTCGATTCTCTAATGGTACTGTTTAATATTCAGTTATCCAATGGACATTTAATATATTTCTACTCGTACTTTTGTAAATAAATATATTTATAATAGAAGTCAGTTTCTGTTTCTGTGGTAACTGTCCTACAGGTAATCCTAGCAGCTTTTAATGAAGTAGGAATGGAATACTTTTTTTGGGGAACTTGTTAAATAGAAATTCACACTTACATATTAGGTATATGTGTCTTTTTTTAGGCTTATGTCATAGTGCAATGTTAATCTTAGTTATGGTATCTAGAAGGTCAGAATGTCACACTGTGCTGATTTGCATACTTCAATAGTCTGGAGCAGCTGAAGCAGCTAAACTATTTAGCTCTGGGAAGGTTGAAATTCCCATAAGAATTATAGTGTTTTATGGATAACATAACATGAGAATCAGACTCCTTGAAGTATAACTACTAGAGGTATTACTCATAACAAAGGGCCAAAAAAAGAGGAAAAATTTCTTCAAATGATTATGGATCAGTACTTTTAGCCAATTTATGATTTTAACTTTTGCCTGATGGAGTTCAATTTCATTCTAGTCGAGGCATTCTTGCTCTTCACCACTGGCCCTTCTGCCATCCATCCTCTTTTCTTTATGGCTGTTGAAAATTTTCCTCATCTCTTCTTCGTACTTGATAAAATTCTCCCCAAACCTTGTCCAAGCTTTGAATGGAACAGTAATAGTATTACGGTAAGGTGGCCTCACCTCACTTACCTTCAGGAAAATTCCATATTTATTAGAGCCCACATCAAAGTAGAACCTTTTATTGTCCACTCTGAAAGAAGTCCCCTCTGGGAGTTCGACTGGGTCATCGTCTCCACCTCTGCGTTCTTCTATGTCCCCTTCGCCATAGTCTTCAATGAGCTGAACCAAGGCATCCCGAAACTCAATCATCCCTTGTGCTGGGAGGACGATAGTCTGCTCTTGGCCCAAAGTGTGGCCAAAATAACCTATCATGCCAGTTCCCCGGATCATGGTTTGTCTTATCCTTAGGAAGCGACCCCGTTGATTTTCCTTTAGGTCTAGATAGTATTTCCTATTGTCCCTCTCTATGTAGTCTGTTTTGAGGACACTGTGAGGGTGCTCTTCGGACCCCACAGAGACTGGTGGGGAGGGTGCTGCGTGCTTCTGTCTCCTCCTGGAGCTTTGCTCTTTGCCGTGACCATGCTCTTGTCGGTGGCCTTTCAGGCCCAGGTGGGCATAGTGCTCGATGAAATCCCCTAGACAGTCCTTCAGCTCCGCGGCCACAGACAGGGAGAGGGTCAGTTTACTCTTTCTGATATTGTCTTGCCGGCCTCTCCCTATCCAGACTTCGGCTATCTTTAGGAACCGGCCCCGGGAGCTTTGCTTCACATCTAGGTAAAACCTCTTTTTCTGGATGTCCACCCTTTTGGAGGCCAGCTCCTGGATTTCGGCTGCGCCCCCAGCCTGGTTAGGGGTGGCTGAAGCCGCGTAGTGGGGGTAGTGGGAGTGCTGGGCCTGGGGATAGAGTCTACTCTTGCTGAGGCCAGAGCCCCCTACATTCTTGCCGCCGCGGCCACGGCCGCCGCCGCCGCCGCCGCCTCCCCTTCGCCTGGCTCTTTCCATCTTCAGCTGCAAGTGACAAACAGACACACGGGGTGGGGTGGGGGAGGAGTGTTGAGAACAATCGCAGACGCCCCTCGGCCTGCGCTGCCCCAGCCTCTGCCCGGGAACCCCACACCTGGCCGCTCTTTGCGCGGCGCCGGCCGCCGCAGCGCCAGGACGGTCCGCGGCGGCGGCGGCGGCGGCGGCGGGCGGCGGGCGGCGGGCGGCGGGCGGCGTCTCCCGGCTCCGCACCGGGCACACAGCATCCCTCCGCCGCCCCTGGCCTCCCGCTCCCGCTCGCCGCCGGGCCGCCCGCCTCGGGCTGGACAGCCCCCGGGGCCCCAGCCAGCACACACTCACATCACCACTGCTGCCATCACCGCCTCCGCCGATGCCCTTCGAGGCCGCCGCCGCCACCGCCGCCGCCTCCAGCTCTCGGCCCCTCTGTTGCAGCCGCCGCAGCCGCCGCCCCCTGCCTGCTCCCCCGCCGCCGCTCGCACTGCCCCACGCCGGAGCAGCCGGGCAGGGGCATCGCCTGCGGCGCCCACCGCCGCCGCCCCTCCTGCGGCTGCTGCGGGGGCCGCCGCCTCAGTTCGGGCACCGGCCCGCGGCCCGCGGGAGACAGGGGGGCGGGGAGGGGGGCGGGGAGGGGGGCGGTGGGAGGCGGGCAGTGGGCCCCGCCTCCTCCAGCACAGCCCGCTGAAGGGAAGACCGGGTATCCGCTCTCCCCTGGGGCCCGCTCTGACGGAAGCCCAGCGCGTGGGATCGGAGCGTGAGCGCGAGGTGACCGGACAGGTGTGAAGGTGGGGATAAGAACCCGGGTGGCGAGAGTGTTCTGACTTCTCCAGGTTCCGCCGGGACGTAGGACTCTGGCGGCCCACGGGCACCCACAAGGAGACTACACTTCCCTGAGTGCTCAGCGGCGGCGGGAGTCCTCCGCGCATGCGTTTCGCGTAGCCCGCCGGGCTAGGGTGGGAGGGGCTGCAGCGCGGCGCTCTGGGAGTGGTGGACTGGGGGCCGACGGACCCCGGAGGGAGGGGTGGGAAGGTCCGTGTCCTAGAAGTGACGTATGCTGTGTGCGCCGTGACGCTCCGGCGTGGACTCTGCCCCGCGGGAATAAGGTCGATTGAATTGGTGTCCAGCATGAGTGACTGGGTTCCAGGCAGTGCCGTTGGGACGCTGCACAAGTCGTCCAGCTGAAGGAGAAGTCCCGTTGAACTGACTCTTCTCACGGTGACGTGTCCTCCCCAACCCTGCTTCCACCTCCAGAACCTTGAGGTATCATTCTAGCCTTCTCCGACACTGGCGGTGCTCAGTCCGGCAGAGCAGGCCTCTGGGCTGTGTGTGGGATATTCCTTAGAGACGGACATCTTCCTTCTCCCTTTCCACCTCCCAGGCACCCAGCCCATTTTGTGTAGTGTAACAAGATATGTTGGATTTTTTGAGTTCAAAGCATTGAATCCTTAATGGTTTGTTTTGGTTTTGTTTTCCCTGGTTTAATTTGAGTTGTTTTCTGGATATGTTTGAGTATGTAAAAATTCTCCCTATGGAAGAGGATATTAGAATCCTTAGGATGTTAATTTAGTGGTCTTTAAGTCAGAGTACTAAGGATTTTGTATAGTTCGGTGCGTTAACTTTTAGGGAGCTGAAGGTCGGTGTGGGTAGGGCATTTAGATTTTCATGCCATTGAACAGTGGTCTCCCTTTGTTAATTCAACAGATATTTATTGAGCGCTGCTCTAGGTACTGGGGATACCATCAATGAACAAAACAAACACAAATCGCTCGTTTTTGGAATTTGCATTTTGGAGAGAGATAGGCAGTGAGTCAAAAGCCTGGTATATCAGAAGGTGAAGAGTGTCAGTGGGGTTAGGGAGCTGCAGTTTTAGAGTAGGTGGTCAGGGTGGTCAGGGAAGGCCCCTGGCTGAGAAGGTAATTTTTGAGTAAAGACCTGAAGGAAGTGAGAGAGCTAGTCCTGTGGCTATCTGAGGGAAAGGAAAGTGCAAAGGCTCTGAGGGAGCCTGCATGGTGTGTCCGCAGAGCAGCCTAGGAGGCCAGTAAGTTAGAGCAGGGTGAGATAGAGAATTGTAGAAGATAAAGTCAGACAGATTGTGTAGGACCTTGTAGGCAATTTTGAAAATTTGGGTTTTCATTCTGAGGGAGGTGGGAAGCTACTGGAGAGGTTTGTCAGGGAAACACCATGATCTGAATGATCTTTAAAAAAAAAATTGTAAAATGTATATAACAAAGTTTGCTAATTTATCTATTTTTAAGTGTATGATTCAGTGACATTAATTACACTCACTGTTACACAACCATAACCATTATTTCTAAAACTTCTGCATCACCCCAAGCAAACTCTGTAACTGGTTAATTAAGCAATAACTCCCCATTGCCCCCTCTGCCCAGCCCCTGGTAACCTCTGGTATACTCTCTATGAATTTGCTTATTCTAGGTGGTATATACAAGTGGAATCATAATATTGGTCCTTTTGCATCGGACTTATTTCACTCAGCGTAATGCTCTCAAGGTTCATCCATGTCGTACCAGGTATTAGCACTTAATTTCCTTTTATAGCTGAATACTGTTCCGTTGTGTGTCTATACTATATTTTGTGTATCCATTCATCTTTTGACAGACAGTTGGGTTTTTTCCCCCTTTTGGTTATTGTGAATAATGGTGCACTGAACATTGGCTTACAAGGATCTGCTTGAGTCCCTTTTTCCAATTCTTTTTTGGTCTGTACCTAGGAGTGGACTTGCTGGATCATATGATAATTCTGTGTTTAGCTCTTTTTTTTTTTAATTTTTAAAATTTATTTTATTTATTTTTGGCTGCATTGGGTCTTCATTGCTGCGCACAGGCTTTCTCTAGTTGCGGGGAGCGGGGGCTACTCTTCGTGGCGGTGCGCAGGCTGCTCACTGTGGTGGCTTCTCTTGTTGCAGAGCACGGGCTCTAGGCACGCAGGCTCACTAGTTGTAGCGCACGGGCTCAGTAGTTGTGGCTCATGGGCTCAGTTGCTCCGCACTGGACCAGGGCTTGAACCCATGTCCCGTGCATTGGCAGGTGGATTTTTAACCACTGCGTCACCAGGGAAGTCCCTATGTTTAGCTTTTTGAGGAGCTGCAGAACTGTTTTTCACGGTGGTGGAACCATTTTACATTCAACCAGCAATGTTATAAGGGTTCCAATTTCTCCAAATCCTCTCAAAAACTTGTTATTTTCTGTTCCTTCTTCTTTTCTTTTGTCTTTTCTTTTTTTCTGTTCCTTTTCTCTTTTGTTTTCCTTTCTTCTCATCTTTCTGCTTTCCTTTTTCTTTCTATTATAGCCATCTTAGGTGGTGATGTCATGTGGTATCTTATTGTGGTTTTGATTTGCATTTCCTTAATGACTAAAGATGTTGAACATCTTTTCACATGCTTATTGGCCATCGGTATATCTTCTTTGGAGAAATGTCTATTCTAGTCCTTTGTGTGTTGTTAAATTGAGTTGTTTGTCTTTTTGTTGTTGAGTTGTAGGAGATTTTTGTGTATTCTTACTAAACCCTTATCATAGCTTTGTAGTACGTTTTGAAACTGGGAAGTCTGAGTCTCCAACTTTGTTCTTTTTGAAGACTGTTTTGGCTATCCAGGGCCCCTTGCAATTCCATATGATTTTCTTTTTTTTTTTTGCAGCACCAGGTGGCTTGCGGGATCTTAGATCCCTGGCCAAGGATTGAACCCAGGCCACGGCAGTGAAAGTGCCAAGTCCTAACCACTGGACCGCCAGGGAGCTCCCAATTCCATATGAATTTGAGGATTGGCTTTTCCATTTCTGAAAAAAAGGCTTTTGGAATTTTGGTAGAGATTGTGTTGAATCTGTAGGTAGCTTTGGGTAGTGTGACATCTTAACAATATTAAGTATTTCTATCCATGAACATAGGTGTTGTTCCATTTGTTGCAATGAAACTTGTCTTCTTTTTTAAAAATTAATTAATTAATTTATTTTTGGCTGCGTTGGGTCTTCATTGCTGCACGCAGGCTTTCTCTAGTTGCGGCGAGTGGGGGCTACCCTTTGTTGCAGTGCGTGGGCTTCTCATTGTGGTGGCTTCTCTTGTTGTGGCGTACAGGCTCTTGTTATGGAGACAAGTGACGAACTTGTCTTCTTTATGAATGAAATGCCTTCTTTAATTGGCAGCAATGTTTTTTAGGTTTTGGTGTACAAGTTTTTCACCTCCTAGATATTTTATTTTATTCTTTTAGATGCCATTGTAAATGGGATTGCTTTCTTAATTTCCTTTCAGATTGTTGTTGCTGTTGTCTAGAAACACAGCTTATTTCTGTGTGTTGATCATGTACCTTGCAACTTTGCTGGATTTACTTATTAAATCTAGTAGGTTTCTTGGAATTGGTGGGACTTCCCTGGTGGCGCAGTGGTTAAGAATCCACCTGCCAATGCAGGGGACACGGGTTCGAGCCCTGGTCCGGGAAGATCCCACATGCCGCGTAGCAACTAAGCCTGTGCGCCACAACTACTGAGCCTGTGCTCTAGAGCTTGCACACCACAACTACTGAGCCCATGTGCCACAACTACTGAAGCCCACACGCCTAGAGCCTGTGATCCGCAGCAAGAGAAGTCACTGCAATGAGAAGCCCGCGCACCACAACGAAGGGTAGCCCCCACTCGCTACAACTAGAGAAAGCCTGCACACAACAACAAATACCCAACACAGCCCCCCCCCCAAAAAAAAATCTAATAGGTTTCTTGTGGATTCTTTGGGTTTTTTTTTTTTAATATACAGGATCATGTCATCTGTGAGTAGAGGTAGTCTTACTCTTCCTTTCCAATTTGAATGCCTTTTATTTCTTGTTTATATCTAATTTCTCTGGCTAGAACTTTCAATACTATGTTGAATAGCATTGGTGGAAGTGAGTATCTGTCTTGCTCTTGATCTTAGGGGGAAATTTTTCAGTCTTTCACCACTGAGTATGATGTTAACTGTGGGTTTCTCGTAAATCCCTTTATTGTGTTGAGGAAATTCTCTTCTATCCCTAGTTTTTTGAGTTTTTATATCATGAAAGAATATTTGATTTTTATCAGATGCCTGTGTCAGTTGAAATGATCATGTGGTGTTTTTCCTTCATTCTATTAAAGTGACATATTACATTGATTTTCTTATATTGAGCCACCTTTGCATTCCTGGGATAAATCTCACTTGGGTATGGTATATAATCCTTTAAATTGACATTTCTTTTAACAGAATCACTCTGACTACTGTTTTGAGACTAGACTGTGGAGGCAAGCAGATAAGAGGTAATGTGGCTTGAACCAAGGTTTTAGCTGTGGAGGTGGTGATAGGAGGTAGGATTTCAGCTTTATTTTGAAGGTAAAACTAACAGTATTTGCTGATAGATTGGATGTGAGGTGTGAAAGGAGGAGAGGAGTCAAGGATGATTCTAAGGTTTTTGGCATGAGCAATCAGAAGGATGGAGGTGTACCTACTGAAAATTGTAATTTATGGAAGGAGCAGTTCGGGGAAATTTTATACCTATTGAGTACAATATGTGCATTAGACATTCAAGTATCTAGTAAATAATTGGGTATACAAGTTTGAAGTTCAGAGGAGTGCTCTAGGCTGTTTATATAAATTTGGAAGTCACCAGTGTGCTGTAGTTAATTTTAAAGTCATCAGGCTGGATGTGATCTCCAAGGGAGTGAATGTAGATGGAGAAGAGAACAACCAGTTCTGTGACCTGAATCTTCTGTTATGTTTGGAGATTGGGGAGGTAAGGAGGGATGGGCAAAGGGTACTGAGAAGGAATGCTGACTGATGTAGATGGAGAATCAAAAGTTGTCACAGAAGCCTAATAAGGTGTTTCAAGAAGGTGAGTGTGATTAATTGGGTCGTATGCTGCTGGTGTGTTGAGCCAATGAGGACTGACTGTAAGATTTGGCAGCATGAAGGTCATTGGTAACCTTGAAATGAGTGAGCCCTTTTGGTGGGGTGGAGTGTCTTTTTTTCTTTCTTTCTTTTTTTTTTTTTTTTTTTTTTTTGGTACGCGGGCCTCTCACTGTTGTGACCTCTCCCGTTGCGGAGCACAGGCTCCAGACGCGCAGGCTCAGCGGCCATGGCTCACGGGCGCAGCTGCTCCGCGGCATGTGGGATCTTCCCGGATCGGGGCACAAACCCGCATCCCCTGCATCGGCAGGCGGACTCTCAACCACTGCACCACCAGGGAAGCCCAAGGGTGGAGTGTCTTTTAAACACTGGGAAGAGATAATGGAAGGAATGGAAATGGAGATGCTAGTATAGATGAGTCTTTTGAGTAGTTTTTCTATAAAGGGGAGAAGAATGGAGCAGTTAGCGAAGTCAAATTTGTTTGATTTTTTTTTGATGGGAGAAATTGCATAAGCTTATATACTGATGGGACTTTGGGACTTTTCTGGTAGACTAGTAGAGAGGGAGAAATTGATGATGCGGAAGAGAGATGAAAAATGCCCTTGACTAGATGAGAGGATATGGAATCTAGTGCACACAAGGAGGGGCTGGATTTAGGAGCACAGATAAGTCATGGGGGATACCTATCTATCTACCTATCTACCTACCTCCATAATAGCATGGGCCAATTCCCAATTTTTATATCTATACCTATACCTGTCTATATATGTAATATCTATCTATCTATCTATCTAGTATAGAGATGGCAAGCTGGAGACCTGGGAGAGCCAGTGGTATAGTTCCAGTCTAAGTCTGGCCTGAGAACCAGGAGAGCAGACACTATTTGTTTCAGTCCAAGTGTGAGTCTGAAGGCAGGAGACTAATGTCCTAGCTTAAAGGCAGACAGAAAGAGTGAATTCCCCCTCACTCAGCCTTTTTGTTATAGTCAGGCCGTCAACAGATTGGATGAAGCCCACCCACATTGGGGAGGGCAGTCTGCTTTACTCAGTCTGCTGATTCAAATGTTAACTGTGGGTTACATCCAGAAACACCCTCACAGAAATGCCCAGAATAATGTTTAAATATTTGGGCACCCTGTGGCCCATTCAAATTGACACAGTAAAATTAACCATCACAATAGAGTATATGGGCATAGATACAATTATGTGAATAAATTTCAGGGTAGGAGCTTGTGGACGTTCCTTTTTGATTGCTTAAGTGAAGTCTGAAGCATGGTTGTCAGCTGGGAGGGATAATGGGAAGAAATATGATAGGTTTAGGTAGACAAGAGAAGGTATAAATAGTTAGCTTAGAAAGAGAGGATAGTAAATAGATTAGGGAAAAGTTGTAGAATTGCTAGAAAGACTAAGAGTTCACTTGAAGTTGGTGATCACAAATTTAAACACATCAGTCAACAAGATTGTGTTTTTCACCTGCTACATTAATTCAGCTACATAGGTATAGGCACAGAGTAGGCAGATAATTTGTTTTGTTCAGGGTTAGAGTTTTGCCAGGAGAGAATAATGAAACCAGAGATGGGCAATGAAATTGGGGAAGTAGGCAAGGAAGCGGTTATAATTTTGCAATTAAACTGGCCAAGGAGGAAGTAAGGACTGCCTGGGGGTGAGGAGAG